CGATTAGAATTCTAGTCATTCCGCGTAGTCAAAATTGTCCGCGCCGAGCCGCTTCTTTTTAGCTGACGAGGCGGGAGACGCGTCCGAGCCGTCCGAGCCGCCGCTAGCAGGCGAGAGAACGCGTTTGGCATCGGAGCGGTCGTCTGGCACTCTGCGGACGCGTCGAAGCGGTCGAAGCCTCTGGCGTGGGTGGAGGATGTCTCTGGCCTGGGGTCACGTCGCCTTCCTCGGCGATGAAAAGGCGGTCGGAATCGTCGCTCAGATCTTCGGAATCAATGCTGTGAGATTCGAGGGTGGCGGCCGCATTCGACGAATCGTCTGAGGTTTGGCTGTCGGGTTTAGCGGCCACGTTCGATGGAACGCGCGAGGCTTGGCTGCCGGCTGCGTTCAATGAAACGTGCGACGCTTGGCTGCCGGGGATGGCATCCGCGTTCCACGGAATGTCCGAAGTTTGGCCGCCGGTACCCGGTAGGGGCGGCCGCGTTCGATGGAACGCCCGAAGCTTGGCTGTCGGAAATTCCGGCGTTCGACGAAGCGTCAGAATCCGAGACAACAGGGGGAGGTGGTAGGGTCCGCGGGCGGATGGACGGGTCCGACTCGTCACCGGAAAGCTGGGGGGCTGGGACGGAGACGGGGCCGACAACTCGCTGCAAAGGGCGTGGACGGTCCTCCCTGGGTTGCTGGGCGGCAGCGGCGTACGACTTTCGCTGGACGCAGTCCGTGGTCGCGTGGCCGTGGCCGCACCGCTGGCAAGGAGCCGTGCAACCTGCCGTCGCATGCCCAAAAACGCCGCATCCGTCGCAACGTGGGGTATTGCAGGCGGGTCCGATGTGGCCTTCCAGCCCGCACCGGCTGCAGACGCGTCGCAGACCACGGTAGTCCGCCATCACCCGATGTTCCAGGATGTGGACGAAGTTTGGGACCGGCTTTGACATCTCCATCTTGACCACCCGGGTGCCGGTCCTGACGTCCGGGCGGTCTCGAAACGTGGCGTGGTTGATCGCCTTCACCTTGCCGTACTATGCGAGGACTTGCACCAGTGCCTCCTCCGACACGTACGGGGGAAGGCGGTACACCGAGACAAACACAACGTGGGCTCCCACTGGCTCCAGAGGGACTTCCACGTTACCCAGCGACAAGAACCCTTGTGCTACAAGCCGTTGATCGGCGGCCATGGTGTTGACCTCGGCCATGAACCTCGCTCCACCGTGGTGTTGCAGGTACGACAGACCATCCCCGCCGGCGACGGCTTGAATGCTGTCCGTGATAGCATCTACCGGAGTGTCCGCCGGAACATTAAAAGAGATACACTGTGCCTTCGTAGGCGTCGACATGGTGGAGGCTTCGAACCCCGCGGACCCCAAATAAATTGAGGTCCCTGGGCGCGTGCACAACGGGAGACGCTTCACACGAATGAGCGACCGCAACTCGATGACAAGGCAACCCAGGGATGCCGACCCCGTGTCCCCAGCGGGCGCGCCGCAAAATTGCCCTTGACGGAACGTGCTACCTGAAATCGCCGCTGAGGCATGGTCGTATGAAAACAATATTAATTGTACTGCAAAACCTTGCAAACTAAAGATTTTAGAAAACGTCACGCGCCCCCCATTTTGTACTAAACTCCAATAAAAGTTACTACAAAAAGAGTTTTTTTCCGTTGGTTTTCACGTTTCTCGTAACGTTGAAACGTACGGATCCTGATTCAGTTACCAAAGCAGCCGTCTGGCGGCGCGTCGAGCGACGCTTGCGCTTGGCGAGTCGTGGTGAATGAGGGGGGGTACTGTTCGTGTATGCGGCGCCTATGCGCCGCATACACGAACCATCCAGGGGGGGCAGAGCCCCCCCTGGATGGTTCGTGTATGCGAATCCTATCCAGGGGGGGCAGATCTCACCAGGGAAGAAGCGCGAGCCCCGATGCCCCTAGAGCACTATATAGCTCCTTCGGAGCAGAGTAGCGCAATCTAGAACGCCGCCTCTCGGCGACTAGCGGCGAACGCCCGGAGGTTCCAACTGCGGTCAGAAATGCATGGAGAACGTGAGAAAATCGTTGTTTCTCCAGTATTGTGGGAATGTACGGAATCGCAATCATTTTTGACATAATAATGGAACACTGTAGAATAATTTGCGCTAAGTTTTGTGCTCCGCAAGGACCTGACTTTTTTTTAAAAATTGCCTGAGCGGCATCATGCAGCAGACGACACGGCGACGTCACACCATTCACGTGACCCGCTCCGGCCAACCCGAAAAGCCCATCTCCGCTGCGAGCAAAAATCGTCTGCATCAAACGCCATTGCCTTGGAAATTGCCTTCTCAAAATTTGCACACGCATCCGATATTGTTAAAACTTAGATAAAGTGTTTAGTGCTTTACTAACTTCACGACAGACTAGTTTTGAAAAGTGTGAACTCGCCGTTCATTTTTTGATCAGCCGTGTTGTGTCGATCTCCATGTATTCTCCCATAGGGCGGGCCCCCTCCTGGAACCCTGAGTACCACGTGACTCGCGCCGAGCCGCTCTGTCGGCCATCTTGTCGGCAAAACACGGGGTTCAAAGGATTGCGTTACTCTGCTCCGTAGGAGCTATATAGTGCTCTAGATGCCCCCCCCCCCTTCCCCCTTCCCCCCCCCCCCCCCCCCCCCCCCCCCGTGGTCTACGCCTATGATGGCGGGTATGTCGACGGGTCATTTCTTGTTTCCGTACTTTATAAACTGCATTTGTTTCTTTTCTGGTCTAAAATAGTGAACAAAATATACTTTCATAAATAATTGAAACGCCACTTATATTTTGTATTTTGGCTAAAAAGAAGCTCTTAGCGGCTCTGACCAGTAGTAAGCCCAGGACCAAAGAAGTCACAAATCGTGCGTTTTCGGTACCGCGGGTCGCCCCCGTCGGTGGAGGAGGTTTCCGCGTCGTCCGGATAAAATAGGACACACTGACATTTAGTTACTCTCTCCGTGCCCGCTGGCTTGCCCGAACCCCAAGAGACGTGGAAACCGCAAAAAAGATTGCAGGGTACCTTTAACATTGATATTTAGATTTTTGTGACCGAAAAACGTCACAAAAATCTTTTTATAGCGTCCAGACGGAACGCTAAAGAGAGAAGGAGGTTTCCCTCTCTCTTCTCCAGCGTTCCGTCTGCTTCCTCCTCCCCGGCCCGTCTTACTCTCGCCCTTCGTTCTCAGGTTGCAACAGACTATAGCTTGTCACATGCAGCTGGAATTTGCTGAAACAATACAATGACTGATGTTTTTGACAGATTTTTTATTTGCCTCGTCATTGCTTTGCAGATGTGGGGAGCAGTCTCACGGTTCTGACCTCTAGCATAAAGACTAGCCCTCCAACCAGAGTTCATGGTAAGTTTTGATAGTGTGCATTGTTTAGGACAGTCTTTGAAGATTACTTTGTTGCGCACACTGTTAGCAAGTCCCATGTATTTGGCGAATATTTGGGGTGAAAAACACGCTATTTACACAAATTACCATAAATTTACACGATGAGTAACGGATAATTCGTTCAGAAATCATGCGAGGTTGTAAAAAACGTGTTTTGGTTCGGTCATACACGCATAACCGTGTAGCCGACCTCAATAACACGCATCGCCCCCGGCGACGACCGCGACATTGCCGGCTATCGAAGCACCGGAATGCTTGGGGACGCACTTAGAAAGGACCGTCGAGACAAATGCCGCGGAAAGAAACATATCTCGGAGACAGATATGCACCAAAAGCAATTGCGTCATGTCGCAGGACGTTGGCGAAACCCGCCCTTACCGTGCTCGCCGCCATCTTCTGGTCGATGGCAATGCGGCTTCCCTCATGTCGCCCATGTTTGTATTTAGTTTAGAAGTCCTGATAACAGTTTCTTAGACACCACAAATAAAGTCATGGGTCTAATTATTCGTTCCAAACAGTTAAAATGGATATAAAAAGCGTGTCCTCGATGTGAACACGTGACATTGCAGTTGGTTTCGTTTTTGCTTCAACCTTCAACTGCAAGCGATCTGGCCACGGCGCAAGCGCAACGCCGATGTACGCTGGAAGCAAGCGCCGGTTGGCTTTCGTTGTTTCTGTTTGACCGGAGAAAATCTGGCAAGTACGCATGGCGCCGCTACTGTTTTGGTTTGACGGGACGCGAGAAGCTTCGCATAGAGCTTCGAAATTTGCGAGCACATAGTGAAGACGTGACCGGAGGAGTGCCCCTGTGATGTTCCTGGAAGACGGAAAGTAGCATTCGTAATCGTCGTGTGTGCTTTGAAAGCGAGGGGAGTCACAGGGTCCACGAGTTCGCAACCACAAGCCAAGGTTCACGACAGCGCGGCGTTGACTTCGGCGATCTCGTTCTGTTTGGTGCAACCCGGCGATGCGAAAAAGAGCTGAAACATTCGTCGTGTGTGGTGCGGTGCTTTGTATTCCGGGTCTGTTTGAACCACGCTTTTAACACGGAGCGCAAATTGTTTGTTGCGTGGTGGAGGTTCAACGGGCACAGTCCCGTCGTCGTCAGCTGATCCGGTCCAGCTGGTCCGGGAGGACGCAGCGAGCGTTTTTAAAAGTAAATCTTCCTTCGTTCCGTTTCAAACTGTGGAAGTATCCCGACACATACCGTGAGTAAGAAGCAGCGGGCGTTTTCAACAAAATTACGTTGTTTTAATTGAATAATGGACTCCGGATTGTTGTCTTAAATCTGCCGTTTTTTATGCTTGGTGTTGGACTGCGTTTGCATAGCGACGCACACCGCTCGAGTAGATGATTCGGTCCTGCAACGAGTTTGTTGCGCCAATCATGCGGCGTGAATAAATTAGGGCAAGGTTTCCTACCTGCCCACAGATGCATGTACTGAGACCATTTTTTATGTTGTGAACGTAGTGCTTTTCTTTATTTTGGAAGGCGCGTTGGTGCATTTATTATGGTACAATCACTTGAGAGTAGAGAAATTGGAGAGCGAGCAAGCTTTCCCAACTTTGTCTCTCTCTCTGGCACTGCCCTGTCTCTCAGCTCCCTCACCTTCACTTAGTCTAGGAAGCTCACTTCCACAATGTGCAGCTGACCACACATCCTGTAGTTATCCCTTTTTATTATCACTTAACAACATGGTTTACTTTGCTGGATGGCTTGTAACAAGGTTTGTCAAGTTTCATACATGTCAAAACGTGACTCAGCAATGTGAATTGCAAATCAAGAATGCCACTTTTTCTGATGAGAGCCAAGTGTTGTTGTATTTGAGTGTGAAAGGAACGGCTGAAGGAGACTTTGGAAGCCTCTCAGTCCCTTCACCTTGCTTTGTTTCCTTCGTTCAAGCTTCTGAGAAGGTTTTTGTGGCGTCAGTTGACAGTCTTGTTTTAAAAGAAGGCGTTGGGAAGGCGTTGCGTATCACTCTTTATGAGAAGGTCGAAAAGCTGCTGACTCTCTGCAGCGAGGATGTCTATGATGATTTATTTGCTTTGTTTGCAAGGGTGAGGCTTCATTGGTTTGCCCGTAAAAAAAATACTGAGCTCCTTGATGCAGCTGTGAGACGCAAAACCAAGCAACAAGTCCAGAGGCTGTGCAGATGAGGCAACACGTGCGTTATGCCCGCAGTAAGTCCCTTTAGTTTGTCTTACGTGTTGCATTCAATGATCGTGCTGGCATACCGGATTGTGCGAGTACATACCTCTAAATTATCACACGCCTTGCCGAAACTGTCTCCTGCGATGACCAAATGAATCTAGCATACTTCAATTAAAGTGTAAAAGTTCGTTTCGCATGTTTGGGCACTGCAATTAACGTATAGGTTCAGCTAGATGAACTTGAGCTTTCAATGAATCAATATCAAAATTTCAGTGTCACAGCATGCAAAACTGAATTTTTCATTCTATTTAAAATATGTTAGATTCATTCGACCCTCGCTGTATAGTGCTAGATGACGTTCCTCACTTGAATGATGGGACAGTGTGTCTACCAAACCACTTATTCCAAATTCCCCAATTTTCCGAAGGTTTTCCTGACTATTTCGATAAAATGTTCACTGTTACTTCTGTTCAGGGAGTGTTTAGTGGCCTGCGCTACCTAGTGACGCGTCGGGCAACGTTATTCAGTGCAGCGGCACCAACGTGCAACCCTTGTGCAGTCATCGGGCTTCGTTGCACGCTGCCGCTCCATTTTCGCTTATCATTTTTACTAACAAGGAACTTTCGTACGGTTTCCTTTATATTACCCTGTTCTTTCAATATAATCCGCATTACTTGATAATTTTAAGTTTTCCAGGTTGGTAGACACCCTACACACCCTGTGCATGATTGAAGAGCGTGTGAGAACGAGCGTTGACCTCGATGTTTTCTTGTGCAGTGTGACGACTTGAAACATAAACCTAGATTAATGTTTGGTTGTGTGAGGTATACAAAAGTATATCAAACTGCGATGAAAAGCAAATCAGTGAGTCAGTATGGTGCTAACAATTTGCCACAGAGCAAATTAATAACCTTTTTCTAATGCTTTTTTTCCTGTCAATTTGTGGCAGTTTCCTGCGTACTAACGCTCACATAGACAGCCAAGCTATGGAGCACATTATGTTTGTGGCGAGCGCATGTACTATAACGGAAGGTCTCAATTTTCAATTTCTTGAAGCATTAATTCATGTGGACATTCAAATGCACAATACATGCATAGCCCCGCACTTCCACCTGTGATTGATATAGTTAAATCTAATTACGAGCTCTCAACGTGAACAGTGCAAGATAAATGCGTAAACGCGCCTCCTGTTGAGAGAATTAAGTGCGTGCATAGAGTTGTCCAGACTTCATTTCACTTCGTTTTTAACGCCACATCTATCTTCAAGTGTTCAGTGGTGGTGTTGTAAGTTTGTATATAATAAACTGTGTAAACCAAGCTTGTGCCTTTTTGCCCTTCTTGGCGAATAAGCCATTGCTACAATAATACGTATGCCTTCATAGGCGTGCTGTAACACACTGCTTAGTTGAAGAAGATAGTAACCTATTGGTGGTTCCCAGAACTGATGAAAAAAAACTGGTTCTTTTGGAAGAGGGATTACATGGGAGTGATTGATACAAACAGGGCTATTACGCGTGAAGCAAGGTATGAAGGACGGTAGCAGGCATGTAGAACATCTGAAAAAAAAAAAAAAAAAAACATTTACATTTCGCGTTACCGCCGAAAATCATTTAAATTTCACACCAAAAACAATCGTGACGTCACGATGTTGAGGAAATTGCGTCATATCGTGTTTTTTGTTTCTTTTTAATAAAGCGTCACTTCCTGTACGTCACAGGCGAGCAGGACTACTGACAATGCCGCACAACTCACAGATGGCGCTGCGCCCCATGAGCCGCCATCTTTGCGCCTATGGGCTTCTATGGAAGCTTCGCTACCATTCATACATATACCTTGTGGCATGTTTGACACTTTCGATCACGCAACCACACCTAACATCTTTTAACAGCCATTACATCTATCGTCGTCTCTTAGAAACGCGCAATGCAGTTTATTAAAAAAAGCTACAATAACAATTGCCAGGGACCATGGGCGTACCAACCGGGGGGGCAAGGGGGGCACTTGCCCCCCCAGTTCTCAGAGTGGGGGGGCAAGGCATGCGTTTTGCACCCCCTGAAACGGCCGCCACTGGGCAGAGCAGACACAGGCCGGCGGCGCCCAAGGAATACCAAGGGCACTGCCCCCCGACCCGCGCGGGCATATTTTTAACGCGCAGGCGATACAAACCCTAGCAACGGTGCTCACGCACGCCGGATTGGCTGGTTCGTAAAGCCTTGCTCCACGAACAAGGCTACACGGTAACCTTACGGAATCCATCCGCGAGACATGGGCCGGACGGGCCGTCCAGACCAGGACGTAGGCCCTTACACAAAATAAAGTTTTGCTTGCTTGCTTGGAGATAGGCGCTGCCGCCGTCAACATAGGCAGCGGATGCAATGCGAGTTTCCGAAGAGGTAGCGTAACTTAGTGGTGAGATGTCTGCCTCATACGTGTCAGGCCCGGGTTCTATTTATGGTGTGGGCCGGCTTACTTCTTTTTATTTTTTTCTCGAACATTTTGTTTTGTCGAGGCATTTGGCGATATTTACATTTCTTTTTTACCATTAACACTAAAAAAACGAATGTTGTTGACGAAACATCGCTAAACTAAATCGTATCGACTCTATTTACGGAAGTGCATGGGGGGCAGCGGGGCTTGGGTTGCCGACCGGACGCCGCAAAGCGGCGTGTACGGGGGGTGGGGGGGCTAGGTGGGTTAATAGATTTGTAATTAGCAGCCGCACACCGTCACCGCGAAGCGGCGTGAACGCAGGCGCGGGTGTGGGTTAACGCGCTTCGAGTGATACACGAGCAGCCCATCCGGCGTGAGCGTCGTTGTTAGGGGTTCTATCGCCTGCACCGTAAAAGGAGCAGTGTGTGCACCTCCTGTAGTGGGCAAGAATTCCTACATTGGAGAGAAGCGGGGACAAGCCCTTTCTTCAAATGCGTCAAGTCTCCTTGAGCTTCGGAATACAAAGAAACGCCACTATTCGGAGCTAATCCCATAGTTACTCGACCTCTCTTGCGTCGTGTCTGTTCGCTCCCCGCGCCTCGTTGCAGTGGGGGGGCTCGTTAAAATTTTGGGGTTTTTTGGACTATCTAAATCACTTTCTTCCTTCCCATCCCCCCCTTTTCTACTCCGCATGCTTCCCCCTCTGCAAATATCAGCTGACCTTCCGACCTCTGTTCTCTGTTGATAGGCAAAACAACCACTAAAATTAGAAAGTAATTTGTAATTTGAGTGGAAGTCACTCGGAAAAGTAGTTAAAGTAAACTACTGATTACTAGAATAGAAATGTAATTAAAAGTTACTAAACTGCCCAGAAAAGTAGTTAAACTACAGTAACTTGAGTAAAGTAGTTGAACTACGTACAAGTCTGGCCTGGCAAGCGCTCTGCGTAAGTGTTTTCACTGATCTGCCTAGCCCCGCACACCGCCAAGAAAGGTGTAGTTTTACTGCAGAGGAGAAATCAGCAGGGTCCAAGATGGTGACAATGGAGGATGGGGGACTGTTCCAGTGGCTGATGGCTTGAGAAAGGAATGACCAATTGAAAGCGTTCGTAGAGCCAGAAGTGTGTTTGATGGTGCAGACGTTGTTGAGGCGAGAAGATGTTCGGTCGAGGGGTAATAACAAAGTGGTTTTGAGGTCGGGAATGTGGTAGTAGATTTTGTGAATAAGGCACAGCTGAGAGACTTTCCTGCGAAGCTGCAAAGAGGACATGGTTAGTTCAGTTTTTAGCGCCGAGACACTGAAAGAAAAGTCATAAGTGGATGAAATGAAGCGAGCAGCTCTGTTCTGAACTGCCTCTACAGCGTGTTGATGAGATACAGTCGATGGGTACTCCAGATGGTTGAAGCATATTCTATTTTTGGTCTGACGTACGTGTTAAAGGTTAGCTTAGGGACAAAGGGTGGAGCGATTTTTTAAGTTACGTCTGCTTAGTCCAAGAGTTCCAGATGAATCGGCGGTAATGACTTCAATGTGGTTATTCCAGGGAAGGTCAGATGTTAGTCTTACACCAAGGTATTTATACACAGTAGCGGTCTCAATCAGATCGGAGTCCAAGAAGTAATTAAATGACAGAGTGTTTTTTTTTCTTGGTGAAGTGGATTAGTTTGCGTTTATACTTGTTTGGTGACATAATCCACTCTTTGCACCAATTGTTAATTTTATCTAGATCTTCCTGAAGCTGGTTATTATTTTGCACACATGTTACTTTGTTATGGATGACGCAGTCGTCGGCGAAAAAGCGTTTTTTTGAAGAAATCCCAGTGGGAATGTCATTAATAAATATTAAAAAGAGTAAGGGCCCAAGTACGAACCCCAGGGGAACACCAGGAGATACATTTATTAAGGAAGATTCATGATCATCATGGACGTGACCTGTACACGGGAAAAAAGAAAGTCACGAATCCATGCAAACGGTTATTGGTCGAGGCAAAAAGATGATAGCTTAGAAAGAAGGCGTTAATGGAGGACACGGCCGAACGCTTTGGAAAAAAAAACAAAAAAAAAAACTGCGTCAGTTTGGACGTGACATTCAAGGTTAGTGTGCAAGTCATGGATGAAGTCGCAGAGCTGCGTTTCGCAGGAAAGTACCTTTCGAAAACCGTGCTGCTGTTTAAAGAAAAGAAATCGGATGATAGGTGCCTCATGATATTGGAGTAGAGGATATGCTCAAGTAGTTTGCAAGAAATTGAAGTCAATGAATTAGGGCGATAATTAGATGCGGAAGAGCGGCTGCCCTGTTTAAAGAGTGGGAATTACCCTTCCCACCTTTTGGTCAGATGGAAGGCAGCTTTGAGATGAGGACTGAATGAAGATGAGTTTCAAATACTCACTAGAAATAACACGGGTGTTTCTTTTAAATTTTAGGGTTGATGTTATCGGTTCCAGCGGACGAAGTAAGTTTTAGTTTATCAATCAATGTTTTAATACCAGCGGAGTTAACGTTAATAGGATGCATGCGCTCGTAAAGCTCTTCAGGGAGAGTGGGGACGAAGTCCAAGCACTCGTTAGTAAACATTGATGAAAAGTATTCGTTAAACACAGAACTATCATGCTCGACGTTGCCCATCCGACATTCCTAACTCTCCCCATCTTCCTAAACGTCCGTGTGTGTCCTAACACTAGAAACCGGAATTTTAAAGGTTAAAAACGGCACGTTGCGAATATGG